AGTTTTTCAGACCGCTTACCTCCTCCTCCCCCTTTCAACCCCCATAACAGCGAATTATATTGTGTTGATAATTTGTGAAACATCGCAATCCGATTGAAAGTGTATGACAAATACAAGGTCTTCTTCCAAGAACAATCAGACAACGTTTAATTTTCCTGGCTACGTGTCGTATTATTTTTCATTTCTTTACGCTCATCAAGGACGAGAGTTGACTCTGGCTGAGTCAATGATAGAGTGGAAAAATTGGACACACGTGGGATGCGAACCCGACTGAACGAATTGCGAGTTCTTCGCTCTATTGACTGAGCTATTGCAGGCTTTCGCTTTCTATGACATCTTCATAACGATTTAGGAATTTATCAACATCGATATTTAATTATTAACATCGCTAACATCACTTAAAAATTTTTATCTGAAATTTCCGGTGTACTTTCCCGAAATTTTTAGCAAATTTAATTGCTACTGTAATTTCAAGGAATTTCTATAAACTATGAATTTCAATTGCATTTTCCCCTGAAAACGAGTGACAAATCAGGAAATTCCGGTAAATATATACATGAATTTTCAGGACATTGTAAAATTATGGAGTAATTTCAGTTTTAATACAGAGCAAATAAATCAAGCAGGTGTAAAATGTCATATTAAATTAGTTTCTCATTTATTAAATATTTCATTTCGATAATTCTTGTCAAAATGTAATTATTAACAAGGAGAGAGTATTTTGTTTGTCATATAACTTTCTACCATTCGTATTGATTGGATACAAAATAAATCTCAACGCTTACCTCATATACATTTCACTCATTCATCCATACTTATCAGTTTTATCCGTTAATTATTCGCGATTCCAAATATTAGATAGACAGTGTGCACACTAGAAATATTTATAATAGCCATGACAAGTTAATCATATCAACATAAAGACAAATCAAAGGTTCAGACTACTCGAACGAATACAATATAGAATTTTGTACGATCCGTACTTGTCAGTATCCGAGTAGCGAGCGACAGGGGGGTCAAGCTCAGATGGGGAAAGTTAGACGATGTTTTGCAAGAACCGACCACTTGGCGCGCTGTTATTAGTAGAATTAATGGTGGAGGGGGTTGGAAAACGATCGGCAGCATGAACTTCAAATGTCCAACTAACGGGGGTCAGTGAAATAGAAATTAGATTATGAGTTTGATCATTATGAGACGACTTTTCGCTAGTAGGTAGGGTTTATCAAGCAGTATTTGTCATCTTATATGAGGTCATCCTTTTTGATCATTTAATTTTTCTCATATTTAGTAGATGATAGGGCCTATGCGAACTTTAGTAATTTTACAAATTGAAATAAAACTCAGAATTCTTATCGATGTCCCAACGTTTCAGCCTCCAGGGAAGCCCTCATCAGGGGTTCTTTAATCCTCAAAAATCACTATACAATAAAATTACAAATGAATCATCATTTCAAATTAATTTATTCATCATTTGGAAAACAGACATTTCGCACAAAGTATGTTTTCCATGTTAATGCAATACACATTTCTTTTTCCTCCTTTTTTCCTTGATATTCTACGTGCTTCAGTTTTTATGTGAATTCATGAGATTTCAAACCCTATAGTCGCGGATTTGACTGGGGATGACTCCAACCATGCATCACGTAATATACGTGCCAGGGTCATACCTCATGAGGATCAAACGCCGGCAGGGTCATGCCTCACGAGGGTCAAACCTTATAATGGTCATACCTCACGAGGGTTAAACGTCACCAAGATCATACCTCGCGATGGTCAAACGTCATCAGAATCATACCTCATAAGGGTCAAACGTCACCGAAGTCATACCTTACGAGGGTCAAACTTCACCAGGGTAAAAAGCTCACGAGGGTCAAACGTCACTAGAGTCAAATCTGACGAGGGTCAAACGTCACCAGGGTCAATTCGAAAGTCAACACGAGAATCGTAAGAGGATGGTCAAATTCCATGAGTAAAACGTCACGAGGGTCACAAGGGAACGATCAAGTTTCATGAGAGTCGAACGACATGAGGGTTATAATGGAATTGTCAAATTTCACAAAAGTTAAACGTCATGAGGGTCACAGGGGATGGTAAATTTTTTAATTTTTCAGGGCCTCAAATGATTCCGTGGAAATTCCATAAGCTCCATAATTAGTACAATTATCCCTCTCACAATTAAGAGCCTGAGGTTGTTCCATGTGCCTTTTAAGGATCGTCTAAGCATCGTGTTCCCTAGTGACCCGTGTGACCCTTGAGAAATTTGCTCATCCCCTTGTGACGTTGGACCCTCGGTGAACTGACCCTTGTGGCACTCAACCATCGCAAAATTTCATTACTCTGTTCTGACTCTCGTGACGTTTGATCCCCTTCAAAATTTAACGTTCCCTTTGTGAGCCTTGAAACGTTTGGTCCTCATGAAATTTGGTCATCCTCTAGTGACCCTCGTGACCCTCGTGACGTTCGACCCTCGTGAAACTTGACCATCCCCTTGTGCTTGCAAAGCACGACCCTTGTGAGGTATGATCATTATGATGTTTGACCCCGTGAGGTGTGACTCTGCTGACATTTGACCCTCGTGAGGCATGACTCTCGTGAGGTAATGCCACAAATAATCGAATTCTCAATCGTTCTGCATCCGTTGCTGAAAATTGAAAGAAACGATTTGCCCTTGCTGTGTACCCTCGTACAATGCATACATACGTCACGGAGTCTATGATCCCAGGATATATCTAATAACAGAAGAAACCGATATTGTAGATTCTGAGCTAATACTATTGGTGTTTGGATCTGTAATGGATTCTTCGCCTGATTAACACTGACAATAATAGTATTATATTGTTCACGTACCGTGTGTGATTAGTGCACGCCCGATGTATACTTCTCCTTGGATTTGTATCATTGAGTATGCAATTTAACTATTTATTTATTTTTGACTCCTACTGAGTGTTTTTCTCAAAGTTGATGACAGGTGAATATTTCAAAAAACAAGTATGCTGTCACTTCCTATCCCCATTGAAATCCCCGCCACCGCCCAACAGCGCCCCAAGTGGTCGATTCCGGCGAAAGCCTGTCTAACACTTTAACACGGGAGCTCGACCCCCCTGGCGAGCGAGATTATCTCTGGTGTGACACCTGTGATGTCTTGACGTTGAAATTTATAGATGGGGCTATTAATCGGCTATAGCAGTCCGCGAGATTCAAATTATTGTTGGAAAATAATTTAAATAGTCCAGGAAATTAAAAATATACCAGAAATAGAAGAATAAAGAAAGTCTGGAATACAATGGACAAAGAGAACGAAAAACAGCATCGCAAGCATGAGAAAAACCGTTACGGAAATAGTAAATGTCAAATACTTCAGTTTTGTTCTTATAATTTACAACCCTCCAAAATTCTCGTTGGGTAAACGCTTTCCTCTAAAATCCAAAATTTAGAGAAGAAAATAAATTTAACGGTTACGGTCCCATGTCGTAAAATCTCAGTTCTGGTTATTTCGAAAGTTTCTCTGTTTCACGTGACCAACATGTGTAGGCTCTCCTTTGTTCATTGTTTCGCTAGGCTGAGGGCCTGAGACCCTTCGCGACGAAGTTTCACGACGTCACACGCTCCCCTTCTTCCCGTTTTTTCATTTCACCGCTTTTCCTTGAGTCTCACTTTTCCCTCTCCCCTGGGCCGGGATTGCGCGCGCAACTTTTGGTCCAGTGGGGTTGCTGGACCCAACCCTTGGAGTTAAGTTTAAGTTTAAGTCAGTTCCATCGTGGAAATTGGTGGTGAAGCCTTCAGCTTCCAGCTTCTCTCTTCAAATAGTTTTTCAGTAGAGTTTTTCTAGAGTTTATTAAATTCATTTTTTGTAGTGCAAAGTTTAAAGTCTGAAGTTGAAGTATTTTGAATAAAAGTGTTTGTGTGCTCTCTTAAGCACTTGTGTTGAATTTATTTCACAATTCAACCCTTCCAACCAAATATTCTGGGATTAAACAATTGGACTTCGATGGAGTGCTCATCAGAGCTTTGGCGGCAAACGAATCTACAGTCAAAAATTGGCGCTCTAAATTTTATTGGCGCTACTGTCCTCCTAGTTACTTCGTTAGGACACCCATCCAAAGTTAGCCACTCATTACCATAATTATTGATTTTTGACGAATGCAATCGATAGTTCGTCAATTGTTCTTGATTGTTCGAGGATTTTCAGCGTTTGTTCCCCAGCCAATTATTTATAATTGATTTTTTATTTTTTCCTCCCATGTTTCCTCAATTTAGCCCCTCCCACGTAAAGATCTAATCATTTTAAATTGTTCCTTCTGATGAATCGTTTGTTCGTTGTTTGTTCCTCCCTAAGACACTGCTGAGGTAATCGATAGGTTGATCCTTTCAATTGATTTCCTCTCAATCGTTAAAAGAGTGGCATATACTATAGCACCAAATTTTACTACCAGCAGCTATAGTTCGTGATACGCTGATGCTGTATGTATGTACATGGAGTATCATTTCGGAGCAGAGATCTTCAACTTTGTGTGATAAATCAATCTATCGATTGTTCCATTAATGTAATCATACTGTTCCCTAATTTATCATCACCAATTATTATTGGTGATTATACTTTATTCCCCCTCTGTGAGCTCGAACTAGTGGTATTTCGATGATCAAAAAGTGCATCAGTGTTGACATTAACCTCAATCCAGTGCAGTAGTAGTGCATGACGATTCAATAAACTAAATAAAATTTCGGGAAGGGTCTGGTGAACAGTCGAAAAATCATCCCTTTTTGCATTCAACTTCTAACAAGCAGCTGTTTTATGAGTAAGCATTGATTTTATACTTTTTAGCTTCGGTTTGACTCTCTAAACTTTGAATGCTTTTTTTTCTCTCATTTCCAGACTATCGAACTTCCTGTAACAATGGGTATTTTTCTGGATGTGGCTCTCGAATTATTATTTGGAACGTGGTTGGAGAAGAGGAATGAAAAACACGAAAAATGCATCATGAAACATTGAAAGACTCGGGGAGTTTGAAAAGCATATAATTTATTTATGTAAAACCGGTTCACTTCGCTCCGAATTCAATGAAATAATACTTGGAAACCTATCTGTTAAATGTCAATTCAAGTTTTTATTCTGTCTTTGACTGAGTGTATGAAAACAAATGAGTATCATTCTACTAATAAATACAATCATGTGAAAACTTGCACATTCCCCCTAAATTTCTTACATCCTATGTCAATTACAGAGTAGAACGGCAATACACAATAGACGAATATATAAAATCGACAAATTCGTTCTTCCACAGAACGACAACACTTCACATAAAGTTATAAAATAGCAAACTCAAAAAATGCACATTTACGCTTCTTCCATTACATAAATTGCTGCATGAGGTTCAATTTCATGTCCTTCAAGGCTCGGAACTATCTTATTGTCGGTATCACTGGCTTTCTCCCATTGTCCATTAGTTCTTCGAGTATACGCTAGATAATGTCCTGGAATCCTTTCTATAACACCGGCTAGTCTGCAAGGATAATTTGTTAAAGAAATTTAATTTATTCAGTTGGGAGAAAAATTGAATCGGCAATTACCTGTATGGCATTCCGCCTAAATTAAGATGAATGGGAAAATCTCTCAACTTGCAGCGTAAGGAAACCTCTGCTCTTACATTAGGGCGAATGTCCAATTCGATGTAGATGTGGAAATTGAGGATTATATCGACTGTACATGAACCAGGGCACTTCTTTTCACTGCATTTTACTTTCCACAATCTTGAATGATGTTCCAAAGCTTCTTGCAGGGCCCCAAATTTCAGCCTACCGATGGTCTTGTGATTAACACAAAACGAGAAATTCAATAAATTTAATCTTATTTCCAAGCGGAGAAATTGTGACGTAACACACCTGGTCGATTGACCGTGGCGCCTTATTTGAGTATTTCCAAAAATACTTGGCGCGAAGGCATAAACCGTCATATCATTACAACATCAACACTGAATGCGATTTAGGGGGGGAAAAAAAAATTCAGAAATTTTCGTCTTTGTGGTAGTTAAAATTCTGGAATTTCACTGAATTTTCAGTGAAACCTGAAATTTCATTTTTTTCTCTAACAGAGTAGGGATCTGATGAGAAAATTTATGGGTTTTGGATAGCATTCTTCCCCAAACTCAATGTTCATTATTCAAAATAATGTTAAAACAATTATGCTCCTCCTATTTTTAGGCCTGCAACGTAGTTATATCATTGGTTATGTGGATGATTCACCATACGAGTATAAGTGATGAATTGACAATGTGATTTTATTAACTATAGCCGTTAATGTCGAAAAAAAATTTTATGCAAAAAAAAATTGTTTATCATCTCTGTATTGATATCACATTTTAAAATGTCCCGAAAAAATTGGGGATTATTATTATTTATCAATAAAAAAGAGAATCAATTGATTTTCGACTGGCCCCTGCGTAACAGTGGAATTTGAAAAATTAAAGTCTCTGAAAAAGGGTCATTACGCGTCCTGCCAGTACTGGCGTCCGAATATTCGATGAAAAAATGAATAAAATCGTTTTTTATTCATTAAAATCCGTCAATTAGTTCGCGAGATATGATTTTCCAAAAATTTGAGCTTTTGACACATGTTGTAGACAAACAATTGATGTTGAAAGAACAAAAATTTACGGAAAGCATGTACTTACGTAGTACCTGACTGTGAGCATGTCAATTCAGGATTCTAAGAACCAAAAAAATTCAGGGTAGCTGCGTTGACATGGAATGTCCCATATATGCTTTGGCTGAGTTCACACGATGGCCTCCGTCGCGCGCACTCTAACCTCCCTCAACATTGCCATGTTCAGCTATCAGTTTACTCTAACGTCACTAAAATCCCAAACTATGCCATAGATTTTCAATAATTACAAATAATCCCTGTGGTGACGGCTAATGAAATTATTGGCATATGTTCAGGAAATATATACGGTTCTATTCGTGCAGCGTTTGGATTGTAATTCCATTGCCGATTATTTTTTTGTAATTTTTGAAAAAGTGGTGCCATAAGACTGTGAATGACACATTTTTCATATTTTCTCCTCAACAATCTACGTGGTTCAACGCTTTGGGACTTCGAGAGGCTATTTGTAACCACTCAAAGAATATGTTCTCAAAATTTCAGCGCTGAGGTCCATTTCGTTCTACGTCTATATACTTACTGCGAAAGTTCCTTAGTTGTTCGAGGGTTAACCCTCGATCGGTCGCGTCATGGCACGAGCCCCGTTCTGTCCCGATTTTTTTTTTGCGCTGAAACGTTGTTGAGAAAAAGTCTGAATAAATTGGAATTCCTACTTTCCACCATGTCAAACATTTAAACAATTTTTGTTCTGTGCATCTTTGCACCGATCAAAAATTAAAATTCCTTGAAAATTCGACTTGGTCAAAATCTCTGTGTTTAATCTCTAAATATCAAATTTTCGCACCGAATGGAAATCCATTTTTGAATAATGTTTTCACTTTTCTCATTTTATAATGATATTAGTTGTTAGTTGGAAGTTCAAAGTTACTCCTTTAATCATAAATACATAATTTTTTTGAACTTCTTTTTCTCAAAACGGTAAAATACGGAATGGCGTAGCGCTCATCACGCGACCAGATACGTTTGGTGGAGAGGTGCGACCACTCGAGGGTTAATTGATTCATTGGGTTTTCATGGAACTAATGATATATTACAATGAAGTCTCGATAGAACATTCATAAATTTTGAGTGAATTGGGACAATTTTGTCTAACAATATCAGTCTCTGTCATAAAACTATTATTCATCTTCATATTTCGAGTATTTTAGTACAATTTTCTATACACACATAAAAAAAATTTCTAACATCTGAAACATATTTTCTTGAGACAAGTAAATTTTCTTCTATTGCTTAATTCTCTCAGGCATCTCAACTCACATGATCGGAAAAAGGCCTCACGCTTTAAAATATTCTTGTACTCAAGTATGATTTTGTCGCAAATGAACTTACTTAAATCGCGTAGAAGAATCGTCAATCTTCTAGTCTTTATTGTTTTTATGATTTTTTCGTTATCCACTTCCAATATTGTAATATGTAAAATATTCATGACGTAACGCGGAACGATAGTGATGAATGAAAATTTATTCGAGTTCCGTGAAGTGCACACATTTTGCGATTTAAGCCATTGAAAATAATTTACTTCTCTCAAGAAAATATGTTTCAAATATTAGAAATTTTTTTCCTCAGTGTATTAACTATTAGTTTTCGAGATTTGAAAATTTGAAGAGTTGATTAATTCATACTAAAAGATTATTTTCAAAAACCATTTTTAAAAAATAATTATTTTCAAGTTTTCCGTTGGATTTCACTGCTGCGATTTAAAATTTATTCGTGAAGAGAGCTTTCCAGACGACGCCATGGCCTGCTGATTGACATTCCAATTTTCCGGCTTTTTATAGAATTCTGTAAAAAGAAGTATTCATTCAAGTACAAGGCATAATCCATAGTTGGTCAAGTTTTTTAAGGCAAAAAACTGAATGGATAGTCCAAGTCAAAAGTAAAAATAAAATCAAATTCAAGAATCTTTCGCAATTCTTTGCGTCAACGCCTGGCAAAATTTTAGTTTAAAATCTATAGAGCTATTCCAACTGTTTTTCTGTTTCTTTGTAGAAAATCTGAGAAGAATTTTTGCAATTCAAATAATATTACAATGACAGATGATGATGCCAAAATCTGATTTTTCATTAAAGTCAATANCGCACAGCCATAGGGAGAAAATAGCCACCTAACAGCTACCTAATTACGTGGCTGTTAGGTGGCTGTTAGGTGGCTACTTGTTTTGGTGTAAAAAAGGGTAAATGATACCTGGAACGATTATGGATGTAAATCTATGAATTATTAATGAATTTTAGTAGCTTTGATGACATTAATTTCCAATAATTAAGGAAAATAATAGTTTGCGTATTGAAAGGGAAAATAAATCAGTAGGGGGAACGCCGCCGGATGGCGGAAGCGTCGAATTCTCGTCCAGGCCGATAAAGTCGCCAGCAGTGGCGGGAGAAAATTGATTATCCAATAGGTTCATATTGGCATTTTTTAAAATTAGTTTAATTCTGTACTGACCCAATTGCCCTATGTGAACAATATTATCGCAAATAGATATATAGGAGGAGAATACTGCGGGTNTATGGATGTAAATCTATGAATTATTAATGAATTTTAGTAGCTTTAATGACATTAATTTCCATTAATTAAGGAAAATAATAGTTTGCGTATTGAAAGGGAAAATAAATCAGTAGGGGGAACGCCGCCGGATGGCGGCAGTGTCGACTTCTCGTCCAGGCCGATAAAGTCGGCAGCAGTGGCGGGAGAAAATTGATTATCCAATAGGTTCATATTGGCATTTTTTAAAATTAGTTTAATTCTGTACTGACCCAATTGCCCTATGTGAACAATATTATCGCAAATAGATATATAGGAGGAGAATACTGCGGGTCAAATAGGGGCGAAGAGGGGCATCAAATAATTAGATAAATAAAATAATGGAATCTAAAAATTTTGAACTTTGTGAGAAGTGGGGGAAGGGTATGTATACGGAGGGTTGAGATTTTCACCCGTTGATGGGGGGGGGGGCAGAATTTATATGAACATTATATATATTTTAAATTATGTTGAAAAAACGATTGACAATAATGTTCTAAACAACTATCTGCTTATGCATTGATTTTCGAATTAAAAAATTAATTAATTCAATAAGTAAATTAATTTATTCACACGCTCGGTTTTGTTATCTGCGAAAAATAGATGCAATATATCCAGAGGAATGAAAATTGAAAGGAGGTGAGGGGGAGGGGTCTGAGATTACATTTTTATTAATTTTACCTCTCCGGAAACATGCGCTGATTTTTTATAAATTAAAAAACATTAATTTCGGGGGAAAAACATGATTATGCGGTTTCTCCGGGGGGTTGAAAACACCCGCATATATCCGGAGGGATAAAAATTTAGGGGGGTGAGGTGGAGGGGTTTAAAATTATATTTTTATAAAATTTATCGCCCCCGGAAACATGCGCAGATTTTTTATAAATTAAAAAAAAATGAATTTCGGGGAAAATACATGAGTATGCGGTTTCTCCGGGGGGTTGAA